TACATTTTATCATCAAGTTCAACATCATTAGATGCTTAGTTTCATTGGCAGTTAAACAAAATTAGACAATTCAACAATCGGATGTAAACAATTCGTTCCTTCATGGTGATCTATATAAGGATGTTTACATGAAATAATCACCCGATCATCCTTCTACATCCACACATCAAGTCTGCAAGTTAAAAAAATCATTGTATGGTTTAAAACTAGCATCTAGACAATGGTATGGCAAGTTGTCCCATGTCTTACAGGAAAAAGGATATGTTCCTTCTCTCAATGATCATCCTCTTTTCATCAATAATACATATAAGTCTATTGTTATTATAACATTCTATGTAAATGACATTCGTCTCACATGTGATGATCTTAATGAAATCTCATCTTTAAAATTGATTCTTGATGATCAATCTCGTATTAAAGTTCGGGGTTAAGTGAATTACTTTCTTGGTCTTCAATTTGATAGAGTTGAAGATGGAATGGTTGTATATCAACATAATTTTGCATAAGATTTGCTTGCTCTTTATTCTATGACTGAGGTTGTACCAATATCCACTCCTTTGCTACATAATCTCAAATTACTTCCACTAATGGATAATCCTTTGGATGATCCAACTTTATAGCGACAGTTAATTGAGAAGTTATATTTTCTAGTTCACTATAGATTGGATTTGGCATTTACAATTCAATATCTTAGTCAATTCAATAAAGCTCCTGGTTAACAACATTATGATGCAACTCTTCATGTTTTAAAATACATCAAAGGAATTGTCACTAAAGGCTTTTTTCAATAAAGTATCCACTTTTGGTATTAAAGCATATTGTGACTCGGATCGGGCAACTTGTCTAGTCTCTATATGATAAGTTAGAGGATTTTGTTTATCTTATTTGGAAGAAGCCCAATCTCGTTGAAATCCAAGAAAAAAGTTACAGTTCCATTATCTTTTGCTGAGCAGATTATCATTCCATGATTGTTATATGCGTTTCAAGTGCCTAATATAACTCCTATTCTAGTAAAACGTGACAACATGGCTGCAATTTACATTGCTACTAATCTTTTCTTTTTTTTCACAAAACGACAAAGCATATCGAATTATGCTACTAATCTTTTCTTTTTTTTCACAAAACGACAAAGCATATCGAATTAGACTGCCACTTTGTTCTAGAAAAGTTGCATGAAGAATTAATTTCTTTGTCCCGATTCTATATAGGGGATATTTGTCAAAAAAATCGGGGACAATAGTGGTGGCGGGGGAAATTTTAACCCCCGTTTTAATTTTGGGAGCATAGATAAGGGTGGGCCATCCCGTCCCGTGGGGGTCCCGTTAATATATTATATATATTAGTTATATGAATATAATAAATAAAAGTAATGATTTTGATCTTCCAACATTCAACAAAATATCATGTTTATAAGTTGTTAGTTCAATGTTTTTGAGAAGTAATAACATTTTTGTTTTTAAGATGTAAAACTATGTTATAAATAACTATTTTTAACCCAAAAAATTGTTTCTTTAAGCCCAAAAAACTTCTTTTGGCCCAATAAAATATATTCCAAAATCAATCGGGGGCAGGGGAACAAGGATGGGGGTGGGGGTAATCGAGGAATTCGGGGACATGGGCGGGGATGGATAGGCTGGAAATTTCGGGGGCAGCGTAATGGGGAAATTTTGGGGGTGGGGGAGAGGGATGCAACCCCCATCCTGTTTGCGACTGTTAACATCCCTAAGTGGTAGTTATATAGAATCAATGGTTGAATTAGAAGAATCAAAAAATTTGATTTAAATTCAGCCATTGAAAGAAAAATCAAAATAACACAGTATGAATTGAATAAAAAAATGAGATCGAAGACGAAAATATGACAAAGAATCGAATCACGTCTTCTTTAATACCATGTTAACTATTCTGTATTCATTGATTGAGAAAATGAAATACAATCTCTACATATACACTACTAGAAACACAGGTTTTAGCGACAGATGAATCTGTCGCTATTCCGTCACTAGATGTCTTTTGCGACGGATCTGTGACAGCCTTACTCCATAGCCAAATGAAACGTGGCTAATGGCTTAGCGAGAGATTTAGCAACAGACATGATTTTCCTTGCGACGACTTTAGCGATGGAATATCCGTCGCACATTGCTCCCTTAATATCGTTATTTTAGGACATCAACGACAAAACTAGATAAATATTTCGTCGCTAATCCCTTACAAACCTCTATATCTGTCTTTTTATATTCTGTCGCTAATCCCTAGCAAACCTTTATACCTGTCTTTTTATATTCCGTCGCTGATCCCTATCAAAATTTAGATGTGATTTTTTTGTTACCGTCGCTAATCCCTCGCAAATATATAGTATAAATTTGTTTTTTACAAATCTAAAACAAAAAACAAATACTAAAAATATCAAATAATTATACAATCCCAAGCTAAACAATAATAAAATACCGAAACCATCAAATAATTATACAATCCAATACCAAACACTAATATTAAAATACCAAATTCAACTATCAAATTTTAACAAAACATTCAAAGACATCAAAAATCAATGTTTGACCAAAAGGATCAAAATCATCAAATATCAAAAGTTTAATATTGATTGATATTTTATTTCCAAGTATAATGTACCATAATCTCAATTTCGTCTCAAAATTTTCATTTCCACATACATCTTGCATCCGAAAGAAGGATCATAATGGAATTGGATTCCGATTCCCGTTAAATCCCATGGAATTAGGCTAACAAAGTTCTACTTACTTTTTCCTGCATTGGATGGAGACATGGTGTTTGTTGGAAGCTAAACTAAATGCAGGACTAGATTGGAATTGGATTCCGATTCCGACCAAAAAATATATGAAAAACATGTTAGTGAAAGAATACCATGTTTGTACATTGACCTTCATAAATTTCTCTTGTAGGGTTTGATCTACCACACCAAAACGAATAGCACAATAAGAATTTATAAAAATGGATGCATGATTTTAAATTAGAAAGAAAATTACAGAACTAACCTTCATGGTCTCTAGTGCTATTGGCCCTTATTTTATCGCATGCAACCTAGGGATGTCAACGGGGGCAAACGGGACGGGGATTGCATCCCCAGCCCCCGCCCCCCGAATTCCCCTTCTGACCCCCACCCCCCGCCCCCAATTGATTTTGGCTACCTTATTTGGACTAAAAGATGTTCTTGTTTGGGCTAAAAGAAATTATTTTTTGGGTAACAAATAGATATTTATAAAATAATTTTACATGTTACAAACAACTTAAAAACATGTTTTTTGTAGAATTTTTGTACATAAAAATCATTTTATTGTTTATTATATTTATATAATTAGCATATGTCAATTTATATAATTTATTAACGAGCCCCCACGGGGGTTTCGGGACTGGACTACCAACCCCCGCCCCACCCCCGAAATCAAAACGGGGGTTAACCTTTCCCCCGTCTCTGCCCCCGCACCCGTCCCAATTTTTTTCAACAAATGCCCCCCATACGGGACGGGACCCCACGGGATCGGGGTCCCACGAGACTTTTTGATATCCCTAATGCAACTAACCTTATCAATAACTCTGGAAATCAAATGACAAATATGAAAGTAAAAGTAGTAAAAAGAACAATTTACATAGTATCTTTTGTGTAAAATCGTTTTCAGGATTCACATAGCTTGCCCATCTTTCTTTCCATAGTTGTAGATTTCCTATCATTCTACCCAAAATAAAAATTTTATCAACAAGATAAAACTAGCAAAGAAATAAAATATATATTGAATGAGAATTGACACAACAGACCGAACTTAATTCAAAACAAAGTTTTTCTAAAATTTACGAGTGATTTGGAAAATTGGTTAAGATTAGGATCAAGGTTCGATTTAGGATTAGTAATAGAGAAAACAAAAACCTAAAGAAGCGCGTATGGAACTGATTGTTTGAAATTCATAGCAACCTAACATCGGGGATTGATGCTTGTATCGTTTTTGGAACCTTCAAACATTTTGGAGATGCCGATTTCAGTTGTTTGCTGCTACCCACCGTTCTTGCTTTCGTTGTGCGTTTTTTTTTTTTTTTTGGTAATTTCTGTAATTACTAAAAGTTTTCAAAGCGTTCCAGACCATCAACAGAGTCGCCACCGCTACCCTATCAGGTGATCGACACCGTTGTTGCTGCTGAGTAGTTGTACGATCTAAATCAACACATTTTGTATTGATTTCAAATCATTCTTCGAGAACTAGTTAATGAAGATGCTTCTATGTTAAATCTTATGCACATAAGGTGTTTGATGATATTCTTTGTTTATCATTTTTTCCTTTTATTCTAATTAGTTGTTAATACAGTTTGTTGCATATTCCAATAAAGTCATCTTGTATTCTTATAATTATGGATACTTTGTACTTGTGGATCGTATGCTACTTGGAGACAAGTAAAATCAAGAATAATGAGCTAATAAAGTGAAATAAGAACGTTGTTAATTATTACCTTAAAGCATAGGGCAAATATCAAAAGAACTCCAATTACAATCTACGATTTCCCCCAAAAAAATCATTTTTGAATTTAAACAATAGCTGGGTTTTGAGTCGACAAGTGATAAATAGTTCTTCTATATAGGTGACATTAACTAGAATACCCTTTTTCTTCATACATCTACATATAATTTACTTCTTTACCTTTTTATATGGATAAAAAATAAGCATGGTATTTTGATTATGAATGGCTGAAAAACTGAAACTAGAAGTTTATTCCTATAAATTTCAAAAAAGCTAAAAAATAAGTTTGGTATTTTGGTGCTACTACGAACATAAATTTCTGGTAATAGTTAATCCAGCAATACGTAGGAGTATCATAGGTCTAGAATTTTGTTAATACGATGATAATAATATCATTAAATGCGTCGAAATTATGACTTGTAGTTGTATATATAAGCTACGAGGTTCCGCAGTCTATCTAAAATCGTTCTAAAACGAATCTTACAATCGGAAGATAAAACACTAGAATTCAATCTATTCTTATCTCCAGAATAAATGTTGAACAGTGTCGTGCCAATACACCACAAACAAGAACATCCCAAGAACCCCAGCTAATCCCCACGACGAACTCCCAACTCTTAGCATCCATGACGACGACGACGACGACGTATCATCTTCACACAATGCATCATTTGATGACGACGAAGAAGATGAAGTTGTTTTAATGGCGACAATCAACCCTGCAAGAACCATCGGCAGAACAAATCCAGAGCTCCATAATCTCGTCTCCAAGTGACTTTCTTTCTGTCGACCATTCACGTACAACGGCGAAAGCACCACGGCGGTAACCATGGCTAAAACCATCGCTACTCCTCTTCTCTGTGATGAGCTCTGAATTGATCCGTAATCGAAGGTAGTAGTCGCCATTTGATCTGCACAAGTTTTTCTGGGTTATCGCTGGTGTGGATGAATGTAAAGCGATTGATTTGGGTTTTCTTATAGGAGAAGGTGAAGGTATCGAGTGAAAAGCTTGACGATGGATCTACGAAAAAGTGAGAAATGACAGCCGTCCATAAAGCGGGAAAGAAGGGAAACATCATCATCTTCTCCACGCTTTAGGGTTTTCTGTTTTTCAAACTTCCTGCTCAAACAAAGCATCTTTTTGTTCAATTGAATATAGTACCTTTTTCCATTAAAGTAATTTTTTTTAGGAAAGCCTGGTTTGTGGATGATCTGAAATTAGTTATCGGATAACTATGATTCAAATAATTGATTTCGTAGTGTTTGGATATTTTTTTGTATACTGTTGTGTGGTTTTTAATACATAAATTTATATAACGTTTAACAAACCAATTATTGCAATGTTGTTAAGACGGAAATCCTAGTGAGGATTATTTATTTAAAAACAATGATCGTAAATTTAATAGAACCTATCATCAAAATGAACTAGTATTTTTTATAATGTGTAGTTTATATCAAAGATCAAGTATAAATCAAATTTTCTTAGAAAATTGCACTTGCTAAGGCTAAAAGGTATCATACCCGAGGTAAAACATGACGAAGTAACATCTTTACAAATTTTGCCATTTTTAAAAATGATTATGGTTGGTGTTGATGGTGTTTACTAGGAGAGAGAGAGAGAGAGAGAGAGAGAGAGAGAGAGAGAGAGAGAGAGAGAGAGAGAGAGAGAGAGAGAGAGAGAGAGAGAGAGAGAGAGAATAATATTTTCACCGATTGTAAAAGCATATCGCCTGCAGCATACTGCCGATAAAATTATGGGTGAGGGGTGATGTTCATCGCCGGTAAAAAGTGGCACATAAACATACCAACGGTAAAGCTCTTACCATACCGTTCAACCTAATAAACTAAACTGAAATTAGTACATGTACAACAATCTTTATTTCTTGTTTTTTCATTTATTATATACATTATATACATGCATATAGTAATTTTTTTTTTTTTTTACTTTTGGTCGAGAACTATTCAACCAATTTAAGGGTTGTAAGCGAACAAAAAATTTAAGGCCTTTTAACATTTATTATACTTAACATTATAAACACTTATTCTTTATCCGGTCTTAGGGCCGACAACAATAAACTAAAAAGTTTATAAATGACGTAGTTAATATATATATATATATATATATATATATATATATATATATATATATATATATATATATATATATATATATGAATCTTAGGAATAGTGAAGTTACAAATTTTTTGGTAGAATTGATTCATGTACTATTGTTGGGCTTTAAAGTTAGAAATAGTAAATTTGGATGTTTTTTTTTTGTCAACTTTGTTCCTCATTCTTTAGTCATTTTATACTTTTTGTTCTTGTAATCAATATTTTTACACTTTTATACTTTAGTCATTTTAAAGTTTGGCCACAAAACTTTAACGGTTTGACAGCTTTGACCCATTTTCTAAAAACTTGCTAAATCTTACCCCTTTAATTTTTTAACCATTTTGACACTTCTGGTCCTTGCAGTCAAAACTTTATATTTTTTTTCATAAAAACATGAAAAAAACGATCCGGGGCAAAGCCCAGACTTTTCATCCTTGCACTTTCTACGTTTGTCATATTTATCGATTCGAAAACCACATCGAAAGCTTCTGGCCCCGCGTAGCGGGGGTAACCTTTCTAGTTATTATTATTATTATTATTATTATTATTATTATTATTATTATTATTATTATGTTTTTTTGTGAATATATTTAAGACATTAAATTCAATTTGCTAGCCTTTTTAGATGCACATTTTTTTTAAAAATCTCATAAGTTAATTTTTCTAACTTTTTAGATGCAAATTCTTTAATAAAATTTTCTTAATCAATTTTTTTGCTAAATGTATTTCAATTGACAAAATAGCTAATCTTTTTAATCTTTCTTTTAATATTATAGATCTAAAATAATTTTTTAACAACTTTAATTAAGAAAAATATTTTTTTCTACAGAGGCAATGGTTACAGGAATAGTTAACATAACCTTATAAGCAGCATATACATTTGGAAAAGAACTAAACTTTTTAATGTAATTAAGTATATTAATAATTGTATCACATTCTAAGGGAAAATGAAATTGTAACCCCTACAATGTATTTCACATTTCCCTATTTAGTCCCTTATGTTATTTCCCATGTTTTAAGGGAGTAAAGTTGGCTTTGTTGGGTCGAATACGTCCTTTTGTAAAAATTGAAGGGGCCAATCGGCCATCTAAAACCCATTTGACCAGTCAATGCTTTCTATTCGTCGATTTGACTAGTTCTTGTCCATTTAACTAGTTCTTCTTCCTTCACTTTCTCTGTTTCTTCTTCTACATAAGATCTTTATCTCCTTCTTACTTCTTCTCATCCAACAAGAAAAGATGGTGATGTGTGATTATGGAAGCATGGCAATCATAAGGACTTGCACTACTAAGAGGAATCCTAGTAGAGAGTATTATGCTTTCCCAAATATTTTACTCTATTCTTATTCTAACCTCGACAACATTTAGGTTTTTTTTTTGGTAAATGATGGTTATTGAAATCTGTAGGGACCTAGGAATTGGTTTCTTTTATGGGTTCATGACGCTGAAAATCATAATGTAACACTCGTTTCGGGTATCGAATTAATTTTAGAATTTTAGGGTTTTAGGTTGGAACTCGACGAGTTGCGGAGCTCCAACTCGTTGAGTAGAGATCATTTATGAGGACGCGAGACTTAGAACCTACTTGATGAGTCGAAAGGCCCCAACTTGATGAGTATGCGCTGTAAAGGAAAACCTTAATTTTCAGGGGTTTGCACTCTATTTAAGGAACTTATGGACCATTGGTGGCCTCCCTCACCGTCCTAACTACCCAGAGAAACCCTAGTTTGAGCCTTATACCTCCTTAAGTGTGTGTGTGAGCCTTGGTGAGTGATTTTGGTGTGGTTGTGAAGGACTTTGAATCTTGAAGAAGGTGGAGTAGGGAGAGGAGCAGTAGATCCGACATCTAATTTGTATTAGCAACCATCTTGAGGTATAAAGTTGCTACCTTGACCTTTATTTGTTTCGATCTCATTTTAGGAAAGAATATGGTCACTTTTGGGGCAAAATGATGTTAGACTCGGATTTGGACTTGTCATGAGGATATGGTTCCAGATCTAAACACCTCTAGACCCTCATGGACATAAAGTTGTCCATTTTATCCATTTTAGGCTCTTCTCAATGCAGTAAACCTTGTAGAAACCTTGGTTTTAGTGTTTTCGCCTTGGGAGGCCTTGCATGCACGTAAAGTTTGCAAATTTACGTGGTAACTACACCATAAGAGGTTGGATCTGTACTTTGGAGCCATGGATTCCACGGGAAAGGACTGAACACAAAAAGGACTGAAGGCACTCGACGAGTTTCTTAGCTAACTCGACGAGTCGGGTAGGATTTACCCATTTCTGGTATTCAGAGTGATTTCGGTGAGGGATTAGAGTTTTCGGTCGACATGAGTTTTCCGTCTTTTGGACATTAAGGTACTTGACAAGTTACTCAGGTAACTCGGTAAGTTGACTTGGGATTTCGGTTATATGGACTTTGAAGGAACTTGACGAGTTGTTGGATGCACTCGACGAGTTGGGGTTAACATGGACTGTTGACCTTGACTTTTGACTTGGACATTGACCATGGTTGACCAAGTTTGACCATAAGGGTATTTCTGGTATTTTGTGATTTTGACAAGTTAATCACATGATGGTTATAGGGAGTTGAGTCGGAGCTATGCATTAAGACTTATGGAATCTTATCTTATCAGTTCAGCATTTTGAGAAGGTGAGTCTTCTCACCATACCAATGGGTCCAAGCCACCAAGGTCGATCCATTCTATGATATATATATATATATATATATATATATATATATATATATATATATATATATATATATATATATATATATATATATCTTTACTATCTTATAAAAGAAATCTCACTATTTCTATAAATAAATTGAATATAATAATAATATTTTTTTAAGACGTACAAACCATTAAGCTAACAGTACAACAAACTATTAATATAATAATAATAACCTTAATCAGTCCACATTAAACCGACATTCCGTCGCCTTCAACATATTCAAATCCTTCTTATCTCCTACCTATCAGGCCAATTATCCGTCAGCATATGATTCAAGAAATCAGAGGTTCTCTGTGAATTATTTTACCTGATTTTCTCCATGAGAAGAAGGCAAAGCCTCCCCAAAATCCTTGAAGCATACCGTCAACCTAAGAGCTCCTCTCATATCCGACGCAGACACCCACCACGTCCCGATCGGTGAGTAGCCATCACCATCACAGCTAAATGTCGATGCCCTTTGTTTCTCGCTAAAATGCTCCAAACCGTCGCCACCCTTCACAACCATCACAGCCCGACCATACTAAATTGTCGGTGTCATCATGACCTTCACCAAATCCATAATGTCCTTCATTGTAACTCACCGTTTCCTACACCCTAAGATCTCTCAATCCCGTTTCCTCTTATCATATATTCATCTGTTCTCTATAAACTCATAAATGCTGGAAAAAAATGGAAGCTAAAATCAAATGACCACCGTTAAATGCCATCATCCTCCTCCTTTCTTATTTGTACTTGAAACAAAAAGAAGCTCTGATTTCAGATATCACGTAACACATTTCTTAATTTACTTTTTTGCAATCGAATCGATGATGGTGCTACTTCGAATATCTAACATCGAGTATCATTTTTTCACCTAGATTTCTATGGTCCTGGGTCATAAAAGGTCAAAAACCTCACTATACCTTGGATTTGTTCAAGAATCTGATGTGACTTCAAAGATGCAACCTCAGGTATATTTTTTGACCTAGAATTTTATGGTTTCACATCAACTAGGTGTTTTGGGTCATAAAAGGTTAATAACCTCACTGTTTTACTTTGATTACATTCAGAATCTTGT